CCCCAAAACCCCAAAACCCCAAAACCCCATAAAAGTATATTCATTAATAATTTAATTTAAAATTAAAAAATGAGTTCAATTTTGAAATTGATATTACCTTTACTAATTTTTAAGCTGAGTTAGGTATTAGCACTAGTAAATTAAGAAAATGGAATCTTTATAATTGAACCTAGCAATAATATTGAAACAATTAAGCATGTATTTAAGTAGAAAGGAGTGATCCTCGTGGGATTTAAACATAGTAAGTTTTATTTTACTCAACTCTACTTTAATATCTAGTTCATGATCAAATGAGTTATAAAATGGAGTAAGAATTGATACTAGCAGCAAAGTAAGTATAAGCAACTGGCGAAAAATTGTACTTTGGCATCATCAACGTTAGAAACTCTAAAGATATAGATTAAAATCTAGGAATAAACAAGTTCCCTACTATGATGGGATTTAAGTAAAATTATATTAGACTTATTTCTTCAGAGAATCTAGTGAAATGCCTGTCAACTATGACATCAGCAAATATAACTTAGATTACTTGAATTTCATTACTTTCCTTCGAAAATTATCTGACTTAAAGCAATCTGAAGTAGTTAGAAATATTAAAAAGTTTGAGTAATTGAGAAAAAACTATGACTCTCATCTTATCGTTGGAAATTTTATGACCAAGAAATCAAAAATATATAAGCAATACAATGAAGCATAGAATGAATTTAAGGGACTCAAATTTATAGAAATGGCGGACGAAATTTACTTCAAACGAGAACTTTTATAGAATAATTAGGATAAGCTTAGAGCCTTTGAAAAATCGTAAGGAGCTGTCCTTATTCTTAGAAAAGAAGAATTTGTGATGCGTTCAGTTAAATCATCTGAATTTTATTTTCCTTCTTTGGAAACAACTCTAATTGAATTTATAAATAAGAACTATTTGATTGATGTAGACTTCTTTAATATGAATACCTATCAAATCTACAGAGAATAAAATAAGAGTATTGCTTTGATTGCTTTTGATAAAAAATTACAAGTTAAAACAGATGCTGAGTTTATCAACTACATAATGAGCAGAGTTTCTAATAGGGTCCATGAAATTTTCAAAGAGAAAGTTGTTGTCGGCTTGGTTCAACTCCAAGACTTCCCTTAATTAAAATTAAAGCTTAATTTTTAGCATAAAACTAACTTAGGCATGTACTATTTTATAGAGAGATATGAAAGTGATAGAAAGTTATTTAAGCTAGAGAAAGATTATATTATAAGTGAGGGAAATATTGACACATAAATACTCCTAGACTTTACATCTGCTGTTGTCAATAGAAGAATAATGCCAAGCAGAAAAGAATAAAAAATTGATATAGCTTTTGATGATAATGGGATAAGAATATTCTCGACTTAAACCTTAGACAATTTTATTTCAGCTAGGACATACTTTGAGAAAGAGCTCTTAATCTTTTTCTATAAAGAATAGTTAGATGAATAATCTAATCACTATTTGAATACAATTGGCTAATTAGCACTTGAACTTAGGAGTCAGAACATAAATGATTTTACAATTGCTAAATTTGACATGAATAAAAATGATCCATCTGAATATTTGCCAGTGTATAGACCAAATTCACTTTATTTCAATCCAATAAATTAGAATTACATTGCTCTATAAGATCGGATGCTTTTGATTGAGAAATTTAATGACTTATTACAGCTAAAATAAATACTTAAAGGTATTTCCACTTTGATTTAGCTACCTCAAGATATGGTAGAAGAATAAAACACTCATTATAAAGAAAATGAAATGGCTGAATAAAAGGGAAATTCTTAATCAAAGCTGATTAAAGAAGAATTATGATTATATTAACGTTTAATCTTTTCTTTTTTTACTTAATGGGGTTTTGGGGTTTTGGGGTTTTGGGGTTTT